CACATTAAGACTAACTGCATGCCAGTTGGTTTCCTTCTAGCTTAGATAAATAACTACCACAGTCACCTTCCATTATAGCTCTTGAACCAGCTCTGTTACATTAAACTTAGTGTTAAATATGAGAGTAGTTAGTTCTGTAGCTATTTTTATTTGAAGCAGAGCTTCATGGAAAGCCTTCTAGCAGCATGCACTTTTTGGTAGTTTCTCTATAGACAGCAATCCCATCAGCCCTTTACCTTTTCTCACAATAGGATCCTGCTTAAGCCCAACAGCTGGGCTTGAGTTTTCTCAGTATGTTTCTCCTAGTGAAAACAGGCTACTTCACTGTGTCCTTGGGAAGATCACAGGACTCACCCTGGAGGCAACAGTGAGTGAAGCTAGAGATGTAGTTTTCCTGCTGAGAAGGCAATTATTTAGTAGGTAAAACATATTACTAGAAAGGTGGCATATTGCATACAATGAGAACTGAATGTAAGATAGCTACTGCAAGCTCAGTGGCTTACAGTTTGCAAAGGCATGGTTGGTTCAAAGCAAGGCTTCAAGTGGAAAATAGGTTAGAATAATCAGCCATTCTCTTGTTGAAGTTGGTATCCTACTGCTTAGTTAGATGACAAAAAATTCTAGTTGAGGTACATAGTAGTGAGTATGCAATCTCACAACAATATTGCCTTGAAACTCTATTCAAAATACCTGTATAAAAATAAACATTACAGTGAAGTTCAGGTTTGGAGTGCAGTTTATAACAAAGGATGTGCTGTACCTTACAAAAATTGATCTTTGAGCAGGCAGTTGACTGCTGTATTCCCTGAGGTGTCTGCTAGAAAAGATGACTTCCTGAGCAGCAATGTAATAGAAAATCCACATACGTATTGTTGGAACTACTCAGCAAATCTCATGACAGAGTTTATTTGATGAGTGAGAGGAGTTCCTCTGAGTTCTTCACTTGGGAGAATTTGAATTGCCCAAGTCTCCAAGGCATACCTTGAAACATAGTCAATTCAGCAGTTGACTGATTGAAAAGAGCAGCCCAAAGAGAATTCAATGACTATGACATGGTGGTTTGGTATGCATCTGTATACCAAAGCAGTTCTATAAATCACCACGTCAAATCTAACAACACCTCTAAGTCTTAAACATGGTCCAGAACTCCCTTAAACTCAAGCAGAAGATCAACGTGGCTACTTAACAATGAAGGCATGGGAAAGGCAGGCAAATTCTTTGCACCCAGGACTGTAATAGTCAGCTTCATTAAATTACTGTGATTATCATGCCTTCATTGGAAGACTTGTTCTAAAGGTTCATGATAAAATGCTAGTACATGCTAGGCTTTCATCATCCTCCCAATATACAAAGACAGAACACTGGGCATACAGGTACTATATGTATCACATTAGTTCGCAACTAATGTAGGTGGACTATACCATCTGCTGCAGAATTATCTGGAAAACTGGTGATTTTTCCTGTCTTCTCTAGTTGTTGGGGATCTAGAAGTGATTTCTGCTCAGCATGTGTGAGTAGGCATGGTATTAATTAAATCGAGTTCTCTGCAGCATGTTGAGAAACATACATCAGAATTACCTGCCTAGCTTTTGCCTGTTGCAAGCTGGAGAGGTTCCTTCCAAGGACCTGAAAGAGAGCTGAAATGGCTCTATCTATCTGCAATACACTTGCTGTGCTGCCAGTGCCAGTAACCCAGCATCAGTCTTGCATGATCTCTCTGAGAAGGAAGTTGAAGTTCTCCAGCATTGTAAGTGACCGCTATCATTTAGCTCAACTCTGATCTTCATTTACTCCAGGCTTTAAAAATTGCACACTTACAGCAGCTCTAATGAGCAAACATGGCAAGGCAGCAAAGGAAACCTTCCCTGTCCTCACTTCTCCACTCATTTGCAGACTACATTAGGTTGGCTGATTTGCAGAATGCTATTCTGCCCTGGAAGGCAGTTGGTATACCCGACTGCTGTTTTTCCAGTGGTGAGAAGGAGGAACCATGAGAAGGAGAGTCCATGGAAGCTTATGAGACCTCCCATGTTGCAGATAACATATAAGGCAGCGTAATGTTGCAGATTCAGATGTCCAGTTTTGGGCATCAAGACTGAATGTGGTTTTCTTAAAGTGCCAGCTTCACAGGATGTTTCAGGAGTCCTGTTGCCACTGTCTACAATGCAGTAGAGCTCAGTGCTATGGTTTCATTTGACAAAAACCATTACTTAAAGCTCAAACCTGGGCCCAAAGACTGTACAGCGTATCCTCTGATTCTTGTTAACGCAGCAGGGAAGAGAGTCAGAGAGCCACCAGGATCCGTGATATTTCAGGATACCAAGGCTTCCTTTCATTCTCTCATCTGCTGGTATGAATGCCCACAGCAAACCAAGATTCACATCCTTTCCAAAGCAGGACCAACTCAGACCAGTGATGGCCCACTTGTACCAAATCCACTTCTGTGCTCCGGAGTCCTTAGGAAGGATTTTAAGGTAATCTTCTGGCCAAGTTTCAGTGGACCAGTACACAACTATCTTCACATAAGTGTACTAATTTTGGGTTTTGATTCTCAAGGGCCAGAAAACAGAAAGGATTTCCACTGTTTTACTGTTTTCTCTACAGTCTCAGTTCTTACTGCTTCACTTGCTGGCAAAGTTGATTTCTTTAGTGCTTCTGCCAAGCAGAATTACTGCTCTTGCCTCAGGGTCTGATACAGCTGTTGGTTGGCTTCCACCCTGCTCTCCCAGCTACTTTATAGGAGTTTCAGATCAACTTCTGGGCATACACAATACGTTCTCAGGCTTGTGCCAGATACAGAATGATCTGATTTTCCTTTAGCATAGAAAACAAAACAACACTACAACAGCTGCTTTAATTTAATTTTAAATCATTTTTATTTCATGTACATAAAACAATCACAACAGAGGAATCAAAGCAGCTACAGAGGAAGCAGTACATTCCTTTGGACCACGTAGATCTAAAGCATTTTTCTTTTCCCTGCAGATCAGGAAAAAACTCATCCTAACCAGAAAATGTCCACTCTGCACCCTGCCCACCCCCTATGGCAAACAAAACAAAAAACTAAAACAAACAACAGTAGAACCTCTACCAGCTTTTTCATCTCCTTCTAAGAGACCTACCTCCATCATTCATCCCTCCCTAAGAGGAGAATCCCAAGATAAGTCTGTTAAGTACAGACTGTACCTCTTGACTGATCCCAAATACCTGTACTGTTATTGAGTTTCAGAGTTGAGTTATCTACCTCTACAAAGCAGTCTGTAGACTTTTTACACCAGTCCTCACATATTGCCTGAATTAAGCAAAAAGTGGCTAGCAAGTGGAACCGGGTACTATGAGTGCTTAAAATCGAGTTGAATGAAAGCAATGGAGAGGAACAGTTTGTCAGAGGAAATGCTACATACATCCTGGTGTTCCTACTGTGCACTCTGTGTGTTCATGAGACATCAGACCACAGTGGCATTCAGTACACTGTAATACTACGATGTAAAAGCTAAGCTAATCCACAGCATGTTGTTTTGCAATACTACAAACATGATGACAACTGCAGCAGGAGGAGTGCAGGACAATTGCAACAGAAATCAGAAGATTGTATTTACCATAGAAGTTTACATATACTGGGTATATGCAATTTAAGTTTAAGAAAGGTCATCTGATTTCCATTAACAGTTAAGAGCTGCAGTACCTCCCCTGTGGCAAAAAGCTGAGGGAGCTGGGCGTGTTCAGCTTGGAGAAGGCTCCAGGGAGATCTCATTGTAGCTTTCCAGTACTTGGAGGGAGGAGGAAGGAGACCAACTTTTTACACAGTCTGATAGTGATAGGATTAACAGGACTTGTTTTTAAATAAAAGAGGGGAAATTCAGGTTAGATGTTAGGAAAAAAATCTTTACACAGAGGGGAGTGAGGCACAGGCTGCCCAGAGAAGACATAGGTGTCCCATCCCTGAAGGTGCACAAAGCCAGGTTGGATGGGGCCCTGGGCAGCCTGTGCTGGTGTGCAGAAGTAGGTGGTTTTTAAGGTCCCTTACAACCTAGGCCACTATATGAATGATATGAGCTGTTATTTCTAAGGTATGCTTATGCTTTGGTTCAAAAGGTTTGTAAAATAGACAATACAGATGTTTTGAATGAAATGATCTGGTAGGATATTGGTGGAGTCAGGCTCTGGTTTTCAAGATATTTGCAAAGTCATTATTTATCATCACTGTTTCTTATTTTAGTCTGTGCCTAGTCCTGGAGAACCTTTACATGGCAAGAGTAATAGTAACCAGCTGAAAGAGGCAGCAAGTCTATGTGGAATTACCCATCCAAACATGTACTTCAGCAAGACATAACTAAGCATTACAATTTAGAGATTAAAATAATACGGATAGAGAGAAGTAAACTTTTCTTACAATGTCTGATGCCTGTTGGTTTTTGGTTGGGGGTATGTCAGCTTTTTTTTACTCTTGGTTTGACCACACTGCAGAGATTTGAACTATAAAAATCGTTCATGTTTGAGCTGTTTGGAAATTTGCTTGGTAATTGTGAAAGCTGTTAAACATGTTTCATCCTTCCACAGGGCAAAGCACAAGTTATATTTCCTGTAATGAATGTCACTGTACGTGTTAGTAGGCTGTATATAGATCAGAGGCTGGTATAACTACCCTGTGTTTGCCTTCACCTCTGTTCTTGTTTTGTGCTGTGCAAAATTCAAAGGGTTGCCATGGATAATTCTTCTTCCACCCGATGGAAGATTCTGCAGATCTTGTGAGTCTCACAAGGACAAACCCTCTATCCCATAGAATAAGATATTTATGTATTCCCTACTGCAGGGAACCCGCTTTAGCAGGAAGTTTGGACTCCAGAGGCCCCAACCAACCCCTACGGTTCTGTGCGGTTCCGTGAGATGTGTGACACGCAGCAGCTCCGCGGAGCAGGAAGGCTGCTCTCAGCTCGGCTCTGCCGGGGTCTCTGCTACTTCCACACTCTTTCAAACGTGTCATGGCCAGGAGTCACGCTGCCCCTGAGGACGCGATGCCCCCCGTGTTGCCCGAAGAACACCAAACCGGCAGCGGTAGGACCCGAGGGAGGGGCTCAGCGCTGCCTCAGGGAGGCTCAAGCCGGAACCCCTCTCAGGCCACCCCGCTGCCCTCGCAGGGCCCGCGCCTCACACAGCGCCCTGCCGTGACGTCAGAGTACGTGTGTATATGGGGGCTGGAGGGGAGGCGATGGTATGACGTCATCCTGCTGCCGTTCCCGAGCCCGGTTCAGCACGGAGCCGCCCCCGGCGGGCGGGGCGCGCAGCGCGGGGCGGTCCCGGTGCAGAACCGCTGCCGGCAGCGCTGGGCCCGGCCAGTCGCCGTGCGTGAAGCCATCGGCTGGGCGATGCGGATGGCGGTCGGTGCGGCAGCGGGGGACGGGGCGGCGCAGAACCCCGGCCCCGCCGCCGTGTCGCTGGGCTTGAGCGTGGCCGTGGTGTCCAGCCTGGTGAACGGCTCCACCTTCGTCCTGCAGAAGAAAGGGATCGTGCGGGCCCGCGGGCGAGGTAGGGACCCCGCCGCCCAGGGCGCTGCAGTGCGGGGGGAGCGCCGCAGCGGGCTCCCGTTCCCCTGCGGCACGGCGGCATCGAGCCGAGCTCCGCCCGCCGCGGGCACGTCGGGTCGCCCCGGGCGCGGCCGGGGCGGGCCGGGAGCACCTTGCAGGCGGCCGTGGGCTGCGGGGAAGGTGGGCTCGTTGTCTCCGGTGAGGGACGGAGGGCGCGTTCGGCGCAGTCATCGTCACCGCTCCCCAGCCCGCCTGTCTGCTGTCCCGCTGCCGCGCAGCGCTGGGAACCGCGCCTCTGCCGGCACGCGATGCTCTTTCACTTCCGTGTGGCGCCGCCGCGTTGTGCCGCTGTCTCGGGCCGTTGTGGTTCGTTCTGCGGTGGGGCCATTCCGAGCTACGGCCGCCGCGTGGTGGTTTCCTTCGGTGGAGGCAGGCGCGCCCACAGCGTGAAGTCGCTGCTCCTCTTCTCGTGTTGAAAATCCCATCCCTCGTTATTGTTTTCTGATGTAAACCTACTCGGGAACTTAGCGTGCTGTCTGAGCAGCCTGGCCAGAATACGGATGTGAGCTCGAGGCGTGGAAGTCTTCTGTGTTTTGTGCTGCAAACAGCAGCATCTCGATGCTTAGAGTGTAGGGAAACTGCAGTGTGTGCGTGGGTGCATGGAGCAGAACAAACTTCCAGCTCTGCTACCACCAGCTGACAGCCTGATCTAACAAGTTGTTACACTTCCTACAGTGACTTCACATTAGGGGTCTGGGGTAAATCACTGTTTTACAGGTGCGCTCTCCCTTCAAGATAGCTGTAATCTATTTTTATTGTCCATAGAGGAATTGCACTGCGTCATAACTACTGATCTTGTTGTAAGGGAAACAAAAGAGAAAGGAAAGACTTTCCAGCCCAGCCCTGCTAAAGGTATCATCTTGTGGTACAGTTGGGCCTCATTACCTCAGTAGTGCCCTGAGCGTTAGAGTTAGGTGACTGATGGGAGTGTGTTTGTGTGGGTGCTGTGTCACAGCTGTGAAACATCTGCTCTGGAGATATGAATGAGTTTCACTTGTGTGTCTTCCCAAGTGTTTCCTGTCTCTGCATTAGGGGTTGGACTAGGTGACCTTTAAAGCTTCCTTCCAACTCAAATGATTCTATGAGACATTCAGCCAAATACCCTGTTTCTCTCTATTTAATGTGAAGCCACGTAGCCTTGAACCTAGCAGTCAGAACGAAGAACATGAAGATGTTCGGTGTCGGATGATGTCTTTTTCCACTGGCTTCAGCAGGTGCTGTATAATTAACAAGGAGGCACTGCAAGTCTTTTCTGTCATCTCTCCTGAGTCAATAATATCAAGTCGTTGCAATTAGTAATCCTCAGAAACGGCAGCGGGTGGCAAATATTTTGCAAAGTTATCTTACTTGAGTCAATATTTTCTGTAATTTGTGCCCCCAAGTGTTTTAATTTTATATGCAATAACAAAAGTCTAAAAAATGATTACTCCCACTCTAAAGCTGGCCATTTTCATTAGTCATTTTCTATCTCGCTTCAATTATGTAGTGTGATTTCCAAGTGCTTAATATTTCATAAGTTTCCAGAGTTGCAGATTATTATATCTTTCTTTCATTTGGGATTTCACAATGCTCGCTGTAGAATCGTAGAATAGCTTTAGGTTGGAAGGGACCTTAAAGATCACACAGTTCTAACTGTGTGCCATGGGCAGGGTTGCCCCCCACCAGCTCAGCTGCCCATGGCCCCATCCAACCTGGCCTTGAGCACCTCTGGGGATGGGGCACCACAGCTTCTCTGGGCAGCTGTGTCAGCACCTCACTGCCTCCGAGTGAAGAATTTTCTCTTTATACCTAATCTAAATCTCCCCTCTTTTAGTTTAAAGCCATTCCCCCTTATCCTGTCACTATTAGACTGTATAAGAAAATTGGTCTGTCTCCTGCTTATAAGCTCACTTCAGGTACTGGAAGACCACAATGAGGTCTCCCCAGAGCCTTCTCTTCAGACTAGACAAGCCCAAGTCCTTCAGCCTTTCATCATAGGAGAAATGTACTCACTGCAATACTGCCTATTGATCCAGAAGATCTTGAAAGAGAGTGTTTTCCCAAGTAAAGGCAGAGTGGGATTGCTGGAAAAGCTGGCATTGTGTTGTTCTCATATTCTGCTCAAGTCATGTTTGATGGGAGCTAGCATTTGGTTTAGTAACTAGTGATTAGCATTGATGCTCTTCAGAAACAGAGCTGATAAAATGTGGGTACACAGGTTCCCAGGTGCGGTCCAGGTCATCATGAAAATAGTCATCCTTGAGATGGGAAGGCCCAGAAAGACCATCCTGAGGTTTTATGCTTCTTGGAAATGCATTCGTATGTCTGTAGTTCAGAGGTTTCAATCATAGCATTTTCCAGATATTCAAATACAGGATGATCTGACCATAGCACCATACTGCCAAATCTGCTTGCAAGACAAATTCTTGATACTACTTCACTGAAGCTATGTTAACAAATGAATTTATCCAAATAATTCTTTGTTTCCATATGTTTCCCATTCTCCTGGTAGTGGCTTCTATGTGTATGTTAAACTTTCTTTAAAGTGGCATTTGCTGGTGTTTTGGACACTCTTCAAAGTCATATAGCATTAGTGGTGCATAGGTATTCCAATCTGGAAGTCAGAGCCTCTGGCTGTTATGTTCCCTTAAGCAGGTCTGACTTGGGCAGTTTTATTTGCCCCAGGCCAGGTCTGGACGCCTTCTATTTTCTCTCTTGTTTTCCTCCCACTTGTCTGCCTTGAGGAAAAAGGTTAAGATAAAAATCCTTAATAGTTAAGAGTGTTGAAATTGTTCTATTTTGTTGTTCTGATAATGCAGTTTCATATTTTTCTAATACATCTTCCTATATTTCTTCTCCCAGGTACTTCATACTTGACAGATATAGTATGGTGGTCTGGCACTATTGCAAGTAAGTATCCTAAATGGTTCGATTTTTTTTTTGTTTTTTTTTTGTTTTTTTTTTTTTTTTAATTTTTTTGAAGGGGGAAGTTGTGGTTAAGTGGCAAAATGAGGCAAGAGCTGGTTTCTAATCTTGGATCTGGCACTCGCTTGTAGTGAAGTTGCTTTCCCTCAGAAATATCCCACTTTTACTAAACTCTCTGGCTGTCTGTCTGATGGTGTTAGAAAAAGCTAAGAGCTGGGATAAACCCAGATCAGATGTTATTTTCTGGATTTTCTGAACCATCCGATACTTGCAGCTCTTGGCACCCACACACTGCTCTGACTGGATTCTTGCATGTTTTCTGTTTCTGGATTGCACTGGTACACCCAGTTTTTAATAAAAGTCAAAGCTGAATAAGAAATTGTAGCTCTGCACAAAGGGGCTCATTGAGCACATTATGCTTTAGATCAGAAAGCACTTAGCCTCAATTTTAAAAACAGTATCTTTTTTTATTTCTAGTTCGGTAGCTCTGGTTTTGGCGTTGTTTTCAATTTGCTGGGTTAATATGAAGCCTTACGTGGTGCTGATTATGAGATCTGTGCAGTTCTAGTTTTAGTGTCTTTGTAAGTAATCCTCACACTCAGTTTACTCTCCAGTTTTAATCCATGCAGAGTAACTAGCTTTCTCCTTTTGTAGTTCACTCCTAGTCTTACCCACAGGAGTTTAAATGCAAAGCTGGTTTATAGACACTAGTCCAGCCTTCTGTGGATTATTTGGAAATGTTTTGATGAGTTTCTGAGAAGCGTATGAGTCCAGCTATGTCCTTTGCTTTGATGCAACAAAGTACTTTGTTGTCCTCAAGCTGCACAAAAGGAATGGAAACTGATAGATCCCTCAAAGGATGAGGTTCGCAGCAAGAGTAGGAGCCAACAGAGCTTCTAAAGCAAGTCTTCAGCTAATTCAGGCTGAGTTTAATTAGTGCTTTGTGGGCTTCTGACTCCGTGATCACTGCTGCCTAGGAAGCAATAAATCTGTGCTTTGGTCACTGTTTTTGTTCTCTGTGAGGCTTCTGTATTGAAGTTCAGAACAGACAGTTTACATAGGAGATTTTTTGGTACAGGAGTAGGAGGAAACGACTTCATGCTCAAAAGAGCTGCCTGAATTGGCTGAAGGTGCAGCAGCTGAAGGGGTTGATTTAAGTTGGCTTTTGGCTATCAGCTAGGTGCAGGTATTTCAAAACACAGCCTCAATTATTTTACAAAGAAACCAGTTAAGGACTTTATAGGTTCATTATTGCAACACCGTTACAAACTGCAATAGCAAGGGCTGAGCAGGCAGGCAACTGTGGCATCTAGGGAAAGGTAATTCTTTGGCAATTAGTTGGGTGAGATTTCATATTTTTTTTCAGGTGTGGAATTTGGAGTTAGGACAACTATCAAAGCCAGCATCAACTCTATCAACTTGTTTTTCCAGTATTTGTTCAGACACTGAACAAGCATTTCTGCGTTGGCATGCTAACTCAGAATAACACTGCCTAGCTATTTTATGGCCTTGGGATCCACTGGAAGACTTCTAAGGAAGGCTTACAGATTCTACTGAGGGACTTCTTTTTTGACTGCTAAATTTTTTTAACACTAGTCAAGAGAGTGATTGCAGGTATCTCAGTTGGCTTTACGTTCATTAGCTAATTGATTACTTTCAGTGCGAGCTGAACTTTTTTGTGATAAAACCAGGCTGGTAGATGTGCTCTAGGAACATTCCTAATGTGTGTTAGCTGTGAATAGATTCAGTCTGTGGAAAGAGGCTAAAGTTTGTTTGCAGTAAAGCCCCTGAGGTGCATGGAGCAGACAGCTTTCACTGTTCAGATCTGCTTTTACCAGATTTCTTGCAGATGTAGACATGTCAGTGTGCATCAAGCTTTGTGTTGCAAGAATTTCTGGGATATCAGTGCTTCTTTTGCAAGCTGGAAGCCTGATGTACCTTCACAAGCTGAAGTAGTGACTTGATTTACAGAAGTGATGTATCTGGAGATGAATTTCTAACCACTGAGGATTGGATAGGTTGGCAGCAAAGGTCCTCAACAACGGGCAGATGGTAACTATTACTTAGATTTGATTTTTTTAATTGCTCTTAGTTAATCCTAGTCTATTGTTTGCAGTGGTTACTATTCTATGGTAATGCTGAAAAGTTTTGGTAAGTTCACTTGGTTTATTACACGTGCAATGTGGTTAAAGCTTTGGAGACCTAATTTATGTGTCTTGAGTTGGTGCCGTATATTAGTGTTCTGTAGTCAGAAAGATGAGTCAGCTGATCTACACCCAAAAAAAGTGCAAACTTTTGTTAGAATAACTTGGAAAAGTGTGAAATCTGCAGATCCACAGCATGCCAGGTGGGTCCTGCCTTCCATACAAGGTGTCCCTCAGAGCCATTGGATGCCTTGAGGATAGTGGCACAGCTGCCCCATGTGCCTGCCAAAATGCAGAACTGGGGCTGGTAGCTGAGTTACTCTGTTCCCAGGGGCTGAAAGCCTTTCAAAAGACCAGTGCTGACTGAGGGACCAGCTTGTGCTCTAGCAGTGCTGCTCATTAGCTTCTCTGGCTCGCTCTTGCATATAGAGAAAGCTTCAGTGACTTCAATTAGTATAATCTTGCCATGTTTGCAGTTTTTGCAGTTTGCGTATCTCCTCCGTGCTTCCTGTGGGTGACAGGTCTTCATTTTTACTGATGTAAATGTGAGCTCATTTAATAAATTAATGAATGTTTGCACTGTGCTTTGCAGGTGTGAAGAGCAGTTTGATGATAACAACAGTTGATAGTTGATGGCAGTGCCAGCCTGAGCAGAAAGGCAGTGTGGATTCTTGAAATGTTTTCAAATGTTTATAATGGCTCTTAAAATCAACTTGAAATTTAAGCTGTATGTAATCTGTGTTCAGTCTCAGGGTTTTTGCCAGTTACCAAATTGTAACTGTGTGAGAATCATGTCGACCTATTATAAACGTACTGTAAACTTGCCAACACTTGCAAAACCATCCAGTCATTTTCTCTTTTTTTTTTTTTTTTTTTTTGTTTACTGGAAACTTGAGCACATTTATCGCAGCTGTGGTGTGCAATAATGTGGTAAATTTTAGAACTGGCTTTTATGGAGTGGAGAAGTGAAAATAAGATTGTGAGGCTGCTAATGTGATTTGGTATGGATATATATATATATATATATTTTTTTTTTTACAGTGATCAGAAATTTCTTCTGATATTGCATAATGCTGTGAGAAGTTGAAGCATTCTATTCTATATTGAAGAGCTTTTATATATGCAGTTCATATTTCATTATTAGATTTGTTTGCTGTCCTTATTTTTCCTCCCAAAGGTAACACTGCTGATAGAAACTGTAAGCCAGTGTGTTCGTGTTATACGAATGCACATTCTGAACAAATCCTGCATTAGCATATAAAAATTCCAGCCATTTGGGTTAAGTGCAAAATTAACAGAGCTAAGCAGATCTGTAACATCTGTTTTCCACTTAAATCAATCTTTCTCAAACAATATTGGGTAACTTTTCATTCCTTCTTTTTACAAAGAGGTTTAAAAACTTATTTCTGGTTCTCTTGACAGTGGCTCTTGGTCAAATAGGGAATTTCTTGGCCTACACTGCAGTCCCAACTGTGTTAGTGACCCCCTTGGGAGCGCTTGGTGTTCCATTTGGGTAAGAGTTTATTTTTCTTGTTTTTATTTCAATGTTGTTACTACTTGGTATCAAATAGACTCTGTGATCACTGGGCATGTGCTAAGGAGATGCCAGGTTTGTGAGCGTAGTGATGAGTTGTAACTTTGCCTGCTCTGCTTTGCCCAGTGAAGTATGTGTATAGACTGGTGGTGGTGGGAGTGTGGTGAAGAAAGGATTCCTGAATCTCTTCTTTTTTTCATTTGTTCCAGACCATAGGGATCATTAAACAACTGTTTTTTCCCCTTCATTTTGATTATTCTGGACTCTTCTGCTCATTCTCTTACTCACAGTTCCCTTACTATGTAGATCTTTCTCTTTGTTTCACATTTGTTCTCTGCCCTGCTATCCACAATCCACACGTGTTTATTGATGCTGATTTTAATTCAATTGGATTTGGCCCAGTTTCCTGAAGTGAGAGGCTCCCCTGCAAATGGATGCTCACAGTTTCTTCAATGTTATATTCACATGAGGGGAAGGGGATAAAAAATAAGGCAGCGAGTGTTCCTGGATGGATTTTAATATACAGGTAAATATTCTGTGTATATCTCAACACTATCTATGAAGCCACCGCAGAGAAAAGGTACAATTATTTTAAAACAGTGCTGAGTGCTGCTCTGAGAATTTTTGCACCTGCCTACTGCTGTCTGCTGAATTATGTATGACTGGAGTGGTTATCTACTTGAGGATATACATTGTGTGGGCCACGTGCCTTTCTGGAGTTTTGTATGCTAGGATGCTCTACACTGGTGCTCTACTCACCACCTATTATTTTATTCTAGACCACATAGCTTTTAATATTTTGGTCAGCTACATATTTGAGCTGAGTCCTTGGATCTTTGTAATCAAAGATGATTTTCATCTCATGGTTGTATAGCATATAAAAATTTAATGATATTTCACCGAATCATTAACAGGTAGTTATCTGCTAATGAGTTTTGTTTCTTGGTGGTTTTTTTGGTTTGCTTTTCTTGAGGTGAAACATCAAGGATTGAGTAAAACTGAGACTGGATGAATCTTGTGTTTTATAAGTAAGAAGTGTGTTTGAGGCTACTTGAAGATTCATTAATGTTTGATAATATTTCTTTAAGAAGGAAATTCATATGGCAGGTAACTTACTGCATTATTAACAGGATGTATTCGGGCTTAATTTTCTTCTTTTTCTTTGTGAAAGGTCCATTTTAGCTTCTTATTTGCTGAAAGAAAAACTGAACATTCTTGGCAAGCTGGGATGTTTGCTGAGCTGCGCTGGGTCTGTTGTTCTCATCATTCATTCCCCAAAGTCTGAGAGTGTAACGACTCAGGCTGAGCTTGAAGAGAAACTTACAAATCCAGGTACTTTGTTCCTTTTTTTCAACTCGGAATGATTTTGTGAGGCTGACTGAGAGAACACGTGAGGAGGAAACTAGCAACCTAAATGACACAGGAGAGCTGACTTCTGAAGAAAATATGACATGACAGAGGCAAACTGGTGCAGCTTTTGTGTAGGAAAACTGTGACTTGATGTCTATAGGATACCTCAGATTTATTGATCCATCTATGTAGAAAGGAAAACATAGATGCTTTTGAAAAAGTTCTCCTTCACAGGAAGCTTAGAACAGTGGCCATTCGAGCTTTTAACTTTCTAAAATTTTGGAAGAGTGTATCACTTTGTTAGACACGAAAGCTATAATTCTAGGATCTTGATTTACATTGTTTTATACAGAACAAAAAATTCTCATTGTCTTTTCTCCTTTAATTCCACTCTTTTTAAATTTTAAGTTTACATTAAGTGTTAATTATGTTCCAAATGAATTTTTTTGCATGATAAAGGTGTGTATCAATAGACTGTTGAGATGTATGCTGAAATACCTATTCTTTTTCGTAACACCCCAGAAGTCCCAGGATAACACATACCAGTGCTGACACGTGCCAGATCCACTTCTAATTTTTTTTCATAAGAGCTAAGCTTCCAATTATTGTTACTTTAATTGCTTTAGGTGAGAGAAACTCGAACCTAACAGCATCAGCTATTCACATTTATGGATGAAGGGAAAAAAATAAAAGCAAAACAAAAAAGTTGCAAACAAAGAAAACATATACTCTGGTCTAAATTTAATTTATCTGACCAAAATGAATTGGAAATGTATTACTTTAAAGTTTTAAAGCATACAACATTTTTCACTAGTCCAACTTGTATACTAACACTATAATGTAAATGATATGGTCTCCCAGTTCTTCCATCTGTCCTCTCTTCTCACTCAGTTAATGGAGTCAGTTTTTATGCTTATGCTTTTTGCTGTATCCGTGTGCTGTGCTTTAGTAAAATAAGTGATGAATGAGGTATTATCACAGCTGCCCATCATAAGGGACTTTAACCCTGACAGAAGAGAGTTTTTTAAATAAAAACAAAAAAGACATCTTAAGTTCTGTTCAAATGTGCAGCTGTCTATTTTACTACTTGATGATTTGCTTTCCACAAAGAACGTGAGGACATCATTAGTTTCAGGTGCCCACAACATCACTGAAAGCACAGCGTTTTGGCTCTGCATTCAACAGCAAATCGTAGCTGTGATGTGTACTTTAGGTTCATTGACAGGACGTGATTTGCCTGCTAAAATCTTTACAATGCCAAGAGTTCTTACCTTGCTGTTATCTTGTTTTGTTTTCCAGTTTTCGTGGGTTACCTCTGCGTAGTACTGCTAATGCTTCTCCTGCTAATCTTCTGGATAGCTCCAGCTCATGGACCTACTAATATCATGGTTTACATCAGTATTTGCTCTCTCTTGGGCAGTTTCACTGTTCCCAGCACAAAAGGCATTGGGCTGGCTGCTCAAGATATCTTTCACAATAATCCGTCAAGTCAAAGGGCTTTGTACCTCTGTCTGGTACTTTTGGCAGTATTAGGATGTAGCATTATCATTCAGTTCAGGTACATCAATAAGGCACTGGAATGTTTTGACTCCTCTGTGTTTGGAGCCATCTACTATGTTGTGTTTACGACTCTAGTCCTGCTGGCTTCAGCCATCCTTTTCAGGGAATGGAGTAATGTAGGAGTGGTCGATTTCTTGGGAATGGCATGTGGATTCACTACAGTATCTATTGGAATTGTTCTTATACAGGTCTTCAAGGAGTTCAACTTCAATATTGGAGACTTAAATAAACCTAACATGAAGACAGATTAATTATTTTTTTTTCTTTTGAGGGGAAACTGGATGGCTCAGGGAAAGATAAAGAACCTTTCATTTCTAGGTCACTGATTCAAATATGATTCAGGTTGGTAGTCAGCCTCTGATTTGGTGGCCTACGTGAAATGAATTGGAGGCCTCCATCCAGTTTCAAAGGAGCAGTTTTCCATTGTACCCCAGTCAATACAATAAATGACCTTAATTGGAACCGTGGATTGAGTTAGCATAGAGACTGTTGTATTTCCTTACTTTAAAGGATAATCAATCAGAAGAGATGTGAGGATATTCTGACAGACTTGTGTGTGAATCCTTGTATTACGGCTGTCCCTGAGGTATTGTTTTTGTGGGTAGAAAACATCAGTTTCTAATGCACTCAATCTGATTCCTTTCCATGAGTGATGTGTACCTTAAAAATAAGAGGGGAAAAAATGCGAGTTGAACAATTTGTTAATACTGCAATGTGTTCACCGTCAAGGCTGTGAATTCTGAGACTAATGTTGGCTGAACTATGGACCGCAGATCTGTCCTTTTTAGTGACTGTCTTGGCAATTTGGTCTGCCATGTGGTGAAGACACTGGGGAGTTTTAAATTGAATTCTTTACACAGAGCAGTGAACCCTTAAAATCCTTCACTACTTACTTATCAGCTGATGGTATTGTTCAGGGTATGCATTTTCCTTTGTGACATGTGCATTAAGACATACCGCATTCACCTGAGAGTTTTTAATCGGGAGACAAAGTCTGTAAAAGATACGGAAACGATGCACAGACTCATTGCCTATATGGTGGCTTATTTTGTAAGCAGCTCAGAACTATTTCAGTGCCTTTGTAATCCAAAAATACTGCGTAAATGCGAATGTATTTGTTTCAGATGGCCTATATCGGTTTAATAATTCAGTCTCACTGTCAGTAATACTGGACTGTATTCAAATTCTAAACATGTAAAGCATCCAGGAGAGAGACATTTTGGAAGAATTTACTAGCCTGAATTGAAACTCCTAGATGCTTTGACAGCTTTGGCATAGTTGTAATGGGAAGAGGTAAACTATGAGAGGACTATTCAAAGCCAGCCAACATACCTTGATTCTACTAGTTACTGCTTGATTCTAATTGACTAAACACAAGAAGCTATATTGCAAAGTAGTTAATAAGCAGCAAAACTAAAATAAATGGTTGAGACAGAAGAGCATAAAATTTCTCACTGCTCAGAAAAAGAAAAGATGGCCTTGTCCTCTTGTAACCTGGGAAAAGGAGATTGAAGCCTGACAAAACACAGGCATTCGGAGAGCTGAGTTTCAGGCAACCAACTGGAACATACATTCAGATCCACTAACTTACAGACCTTTATGAATAGTTCAGCAATAATATTTTGACAGGTAGTACTCAAGTACGCAGCTTAAGCTGTGAGTGGAATGATTCTGAACTGTTTAGGTTAAACCTTTTAGAGAACATTTGTATGTCAAAAATACTTAATTTTCACATGTTTGTATTTGGTAGTTAAAAAATCACAAGTCAAAAATTTGTGAGGAAAGCTTGAAAAGTAAGAAATGTTTGTTTTTATTTCGAGTGCAAAAACAGAATTCAGACAGTGGAACTCAATGATCTCTGGGTCAGGATGTTTCTTGAAACAAGCAAAATCCCAGTATGGTTACAAGACAGCATTTGGAAAAAGTTCATGATGTTTTTTGAAGAATTCATGAATCTTTGTGACTGGCTGAGGGTAATACAAATGTTGATTAATGAAGGTAATAGTGTTCACTCTGAAGTGGGTTGTTTTTTTTTTTTGGTGTCTGTGTGTGTGAATTAATGCTATCTTAAAACTCACCTATTGTTTGGAAGCCAGTTTGACGACTGTGAACTCCGGATTCATGGTCTGAACTGGCAGAAATGTGCACTCTTACAGACTGACACAGAAATTGGGTGTCTTGACGTAATAAAATAGCAGAAAAGGGGCCATCTTGGATTTGCAGATACTTCATATGATTTCTAGAAAGTTTCAGAATGGTAGATGGGGCAAATTGGACCATGAAAGATAGTTACTAAACTCTGTTGATACTGATTGAAGATGACATGTTGGTTATCAGCAGGCAGTTACGTTTTGTCACCTAGTTCCCTTCTTTTTTTTTTTCCACTGAAATCTGAGTTGTACATACGTTATGAGACCTGTAGTGACCTACTTTTTAAAACAGTGTTAGCTGTTTTCTGAAGCAGTCAAATTGCCTTTTCAAAATCCGCAATCACAAGTTGCATGTTGGTTTTGTACCGGCCTTAAATCTCCAAACGTTTCCATGAAGATCTTTAGGTTAAAGTGAAAAAGTTTGTGGTCTTATCTCAGACCTCCTTTGGCCATGTTTGTATGTTTTGTTTTAAAACATTCTTATTTATTTAGAAAGTGCCTATCCTAGTACGTTAGGTGCATATGCAAATTATTAGTTAATATTGTATCCACAGTAACTTGACTGCCCTATCTAACTCATGCCATTTTCTGCAACACACAGGCAAGTTTACTTGATGAGTGCTCTCTACGCAGAGTAAGAATTAAGTAGCAACCATGGTCTGTGGTCCTTTGGCCATCCTTACAGCTGATAAATGTATGTGTGGGTGTCTTTTCCCCGGCTGCTCCTCATCCATGATGAGCTTTCTAGAAATGTCTGGTTAACCTTGTTTAAAACAGATGTCAAAAGCCAGCACATAAGATGAAAGAAATTCTCGTGGCCTTGCACATCATTTATATCTGCAGCCTTTTACATCGTGAATGCTAAATAATGGAAGCCTTTAGTTTTGCTACTTTGTTCATTGTATAACAGTGTTTTTTGAGTACTGCTGCACCTGGACCTGGTTCAATTCTAACTTTAGAAGTGTATTAGCATTTTGTTGTCACAGTTGTTATCATTCTTCCTCCCTTTTTTAGTCTTTGCCAGTTGCTTTTCTGATTTAAAAGGAGGCAGTGTTGAAGTTGAATTTTAGCTGTTCCCTCTGTTTTTCCTCACCTCTGTCTGCACGTGAAAAAGACATCCAAGTTCCGTCATCTCAGGGAGCAAATGTGCATAGCTGTTTCCTGAGCTTTCCCTCATGGAAGTGATGGAGCCTACATGTGTAAAATGGAGTGATTACAGTAGTGGAATGCATTGGAGTTAAATTCAAACCCATACAAAAGGTGTTTCACTCTGTACGTCTGGCATCTGTTGTACTTATCAAAGTCACTTACTTGTTACTCACTTGCCTTTGATGATTGACCCTTCAGTGTATGGAGGGTTTACATGTGTCACTCCCAATCTTTATTAGGTGTCAAACACAAAAATTCCTCAGATGCTCAGTAGGAAAATAGAAACATTTTTGATACAACAACCAAAAAAATTTGTTACCTTAAGTACTTACATAGAAATGAAGAATACCTAAGGTTATCTGCTGTACTGACTTTCCAACACGTTATATATGTAAATAGAGCCTATTTATTAGTGAGCTGAAACTAATGTTAAAGAGAACCTGTCATATCACAGTTTGACAAGTGAGGCTTCCTATTAATAATCTTGATTTGTACTGAATGTACGTATTTTTCTGAAGTAGCTAGCACTGAAAAATGAAAACACTGGATTTTGTTCGTTGAAATACTAGAATCTGTGAGGTTTAGCTTTGCTTTTTATTTGAAACATAGAGGGTTTGTATTTGAAGAAAGATCTGGGGTTAATAAGTATGGAGTGCTTAAAACTGGACTTTGCATGTTATACCCTTCTTTCTTCGTAAATATAAAGCATTCTGCAGATGTTCCTCAGCTGTCTAGCTGAAGCTGCACTGTTAAATCAATTATTAACAAATATTGATCAATTACCTGATGTCTTTTCTTTACAGAGACCAATCTTTGAAATAATTTTTTGGTGCTACTGAATAGAGGCTGAAGTGATGCAGAATGTTAATGTACCATGTGAGGCACCAATGATGCAAAAAGTTATTACTATTAGTGCCCAAGTGTTTCAGACAACAATGTTGAAATGATTACAAAGTTAGAGGTTAAGAAATCTTTCTTAAAAACTGAAAATATGTGGTTTTGGTGGGTTTTCTTGTGTTTGGATTTTTGTTTTCTTCTTTCTCTAAACAGCTACTCTAGAGAGTAGAAAATGTTACACAAATGGGGTATTTTTAACTTAATTCTTTTTTTTTTTTTTTTTTTTTTTTTAACTGTGGAACTTTCTTTTTTTCTAACTTTTGTTTTCCTGGATGTAAAAAAACAGTTCTGATGCGATGTGGGGAAAAAGTGGACGGCAACAAATACACAATGTCAGGTTGCTTCAATGCTATTGCAATATACTCACTATGGATTACATACAAATGGTTTATTTTATTAGCTTTCAAATAATGTGTATATATATATATATATATATATTTGTTAATGGCTTACCAGTCAAGCTTACTCTTTGCTTTTTAAAAAATAGTTATAGGCATGTTGTATTTGCCTTGTGTAAATTATAAGAGGCTATTTATTAAGTTTTCTGATAACTAATCTATTTATTAATCTGTAATGTTTTAAAATAAATGATTTTATTTCTAGCTCAATGCTTGTTTTGTGACTCCTCCTCTTTATCACACAGGCCAAAAAAAAAAAAAAGTATTTTCCCACTCATCTAATTGTGGTGCAGCCTAATCCCAATTCATGAGCCCAAGCTATTTTCCTTACTTTTATAGCCTTTCTTTTACTGGTGATGGACTGTTCTTTCATGTGTACAGATCAATTACCACGTGAAAGGCTCAGTCATCATGTGGTGGCATCTACCAAAAACTGCAGCCGTGATGTTTTAATTGCACTTGAGGTATGCTCACATATAAAATAAACCCTCCTGGCAGAAGTGTTCGGTGGAGCTTGAGTCAGTTCAAACTGGTTTAAAGGTTATCATACTCTCCTGTACATAGGCTAAAGAAACCTGTGTGACTGGTCTAATTTCTTGCCGTGATAGCTTTCCACAGAGGGAATCATTTCAGAAGATGGTGTTTGCCCAGGTAATCCTTCATCTGAAATTCATAGCTACTTGTATTAGATACTGGCACAAGCATGACTTTCAGACATGTCATTTTTCAAATGGTGGGATCATGATGAGGAACTGTTTCGGTCTTTAGGCTTGTGTCTTAGGGAACAGACCAGTATTACTGCTGGTGAAAGTTAAAAGTTATTTTAAAACAAGCAAAGTGTCTCTTGAGTATAAAATTTGCATGCGTTAGAAGAGACCGACATGGATTCTTCACAAGGTATGTGATTGAAATCTTATTTTTAAGATATTGCTGATATTAATGCAATGTACTGAGATAGGAAGACCAGGAAAAAAGAGGTTTTCTTTCTGTATGCAGCATCTCTGATTTCCCTTTTTTAATAGCCTTTTATGTATTTATTTTTAAAGTAAGCCAGTATGCCGTTGTTACCACTGAGGTCTGTGACATAACCAGTCATGAGTGTGTGTGCATCTCATCCCCACGTCTCACTTGAGGAGGGTGTTAAAAAGACCAAAAGCTGATGGTGCCGTTTTCTCTTTATTTAACAAGAGGTGGTGGAGGGGAGGGGAAAAAAATAAATAAAGTGCTGTTGATTTTTCTGACGTGTTTGTTACTGTTTTTGTTCTTATTTTTGAGATCTTAAGCAGAGCTTATTAACTTGCATGTGGGAGCGCAACCCTTGTAGGATCAGACTCACAGATACGGATCCTTTGTTCTGCTCAGCTGTCTTGGTTAATCGCAGCAGGGACATGGCCACCAGAGGCCGTTACAGCTGCCTGATTTCCTCATCAGTTTTCTGCCATCTACAGACAGCACTGAATTTGTTACCCTGGTGGGATGCTTTAAAACTCTGCCAGCTTGTGATATTTTGCCAAGGGATACCAGACAGAGGCTCTGGGTAGATAGCTTTTTATCGCAATCTTTTCACTGTTTGTATGGGGTTGGAAATTACTGCACGAGAGTCAGCTAGCTCATATGCAGCACGAACCTGCTAACCTGCTAATGTTTCTCAGGGTTGTGTGAGTGGCAGCCTTGCTCTTTATCCTTAAACCTTGAGGGATGTTTATATACACAATAGATACTGAGCCCTGAAAAGTTCTGCTCACAGCTTTGCATAATAACTTATACTAGCAGACTTTTGCAGTGAAATTCACTGAGTACAAAGAACGTGCAGCGGTATTGTGAGAGTGGATGAGGGTAGGTAGCTTACTATCATTCTTCTTTTCAGAGTAGTTTCCAGATACTCTGAAAACATGTCTGATGTATCATGCTGTTGTAAATTATCAAGAGATAATTTTTTGATAATTTTCTGTTAAGCACAACCTCTGGCAGTGAAATAAGGCTGCGATGACTTGTGATGAACTGAGAGCACTCAAAAATGTTTTCTGTGTGAAGGAGTAACAGTATGTTGATCAGAACTAACAGCTGGAAAAAAATAAATCAAGAAGAGTTTAAACAGATATTGAGCTTTTTCAAAGACTTCACAGTTCTGGTATCTTGCACAACACAGAAAAGCCAGCTGTGAAGTGCTTAGCAAATAGCTGCGTACTGTCTGTTATATAGATCATCATGGAATCATAGAATGTCCTGGGTTGAAAAGGACCACAACGATCATCTGGTTTCAACCCCCCTGCTATGTGCAGGGTCACCAACCACCAGACCAGGCTGCCCAGAGCCACATCCAGCCTGGCCTTGAATGCCTCTGGGGGTGGAGTATCCACAACCTCAATGGGCAACCTGTTCCAGTGCAAAATTAATGTTGCATCTAACAGTCTAGTTTCAAGCCTGGGGATAGTATGTTGCCCTAGGATATAAAAAAGGCCTAAAATTGTTTCTTTGAGTGTCCTGGAAATTGCAGGACTTAAAGTGACAGAGTGAGGGGCCTTTTTGGTCCAGCTGATGAGCAAGATGAGGGTCATGGGAGGGTAAGCCAAGATTGCTGCTCCGGTTTTGTTTCTGAGTTTTACAGAAATGAAGCAGCAGCCTATGCAGACTGTGGTCATGTTCTGAGAAATCCTAGCAAAGTGTTGTCACTGGGAGATGTGACCAACAGGTCTGTCCTACTTGAAAGTCAGAGCTCTCAGGTGGAGCTATCGTGGACGTTTTGGGAGTGGTGGCAATCTAGGCTAATGTTCCACGGTAGCTTTGGAAGGTGTATATCAGTAGTTCTGAAGGAACTGCAGGGCTCTCTGAGCCTGGCACTTATCAACTGATAGAGCTGTGTTCCAGAGTCTAAACTACAAGCTGAGGAGAAACATGCCAACATCCAGTCAGGCATATGAGATTCAAGTAGTCTTGGTAGGAAACTGTGTATGAGGAGCGTGGCATTTGGCTTAAATGGACTAATAAATCATAGAAATCATTCAACTATTTAAAATGGCCTTTTTTTTTTTTTTTTTAATCTTACTGTATATGGTCTGTAAGTTTTCCTGTAAGAGTGTAAAAAGAAAGGGGAACGTGGATTTTTGGAAGGGATGCTTGGGGTAGCAAGTCATAACGAATGACGTGCGGCTGCGAGGAAACACGCTTCTTGTGAAATATTCTGCAGTGCATTAAATGGCTCTTTATTTAAAAATAATAATACAAAAAAGTTGCCCGTAGAAGGCAACGAAGCCGGCTCAGAAATAGCGTTCCTAAGCGGAGTTACGTCCCGCCCCGGGCTCAGGCAGCTCCCCCCTTCGCTCCGAAGGTGACGGCGGTTACGCGGCCCTCAGCCGCCGGTAGTGCTGACGTCACACCGCACCCCCAGGGGGAAGGAGAGGGGAAGGCTTACGGGAGAGGCCACGTGACCGGGACGGGCGGGGCGCGGCCCGGCCCAGAGCGAGGCGGCCGCGCCCTTTCCGGCGGGTGCTGCCGGGACCAGCGGGGCGGGGACAGCCGAGCGCGGGGAAGGCGGCTGCCCTCGCCTCTCGCCGCAGCTGCCCGCCGTCAGTCCTCACCCTGCCATCCCCTCACCTCATGGCGGTGCAGAGCGTAGGGGCCGGCCCCTCCCACCGCCCGCTCCGGCCTCCCCCTCCTCTTCCGCGCGCGGGAGCCGCGGGGCTCCTCCCGACGGGAGCGTGAGGGGCGGCGACCGCAGGTAACGGGGGAGAGATGAGGGCGGAGGAGGCCTGGCGGCCCGCCACGGGGGGGAGGGCGGCCTGGAGCTCGCGCTCCGAGGGGCGGGGCTTGTGGGCGCGAGGCGCCGCCCCTCCTCGGGGTCGAGCCGCGGGCCCCGGTGCCGGCGTGCTGGGAGCCGTGTGGGTGAGCAGCCGTGAGGCCCGAGTGGGCCGTGCCTGGCCGTGGTAACGTGTGCGTGCGTGCATGAGACTGGCGGCGGGGTATTTGCGGTGCCGCGTTCGTCCCGTGGAGATGGACGGGTTCGTCCGCGGTTCGGTGTGACGCTGAGTGCCCGGTGAACACCGGCAGAGCTTCCCAACCCGAGCTCGGCTTCGGTGTGAGGTGTGAAGGGAGGTCTCGGGTTTGTTTCCGTTCTGTGAAGGTAAGGGTTGCGTCTGGCGTCTCAGTCCCGGAGCGTCTTTAGGTTGCGTGGAACGCGAGGCTGCCTGTCTCAAAAGCTCAAGGTGGAACTTGAGTGAACTTTGGTCGTGTGGCTGAGGATGAGGTAACGAAATAGTTGCAGCAGGGATGGAGGAGGTTGTGTCATTGACTGTTGGGGCCTTTTTGATAGACTTCTGGGAAATGCAGGCAGGAGGGCAGCAGCTACGAAACACGCTGTAGTTGCCTAGTTGATGAATAACGCTCTGTTTTAGTGAACGTCCTGCCATTGAAGATTGTTCTTTATATAAAAGAGGATAAGTGTAAGTAGCGTAGGAAGAATAGGATGTACAAAAAGGTAAAGAATGGATTCTTTTCTTTTTTTCTCCCCCAGTATCTTAAAATTGAATGCTCTTTGTTTTTTTCTTTATTAATGCCGTGTTGAAGGAGTACACTTCCTCACTGTTCAAAAAACCTTCTTAAATGGGCTTTTTGAAACTGGTGTGTCTTTTGCTTTGAGCACTTGTGCCTCTGGTGTGCTATCTATATGCACATGTATGACATCCTTGTAAAAAAAATAATAATAATAATAATAATAATAATAACATGAAGATAAAGCATATTTCCTTGTTTACCTTGTCTGTGTAATACATAAAAATAAGGATAAGACTGCGCTCTCATGGACAAGGCTGGAAAACTTTATCTCTGCTTTAGGAGATTAGGGGAAAGTTTTTCACTCAGAGGGTGGTGACGCACTGGAACAGGTTGCCCTAGGAGGTTGTGGATGCCCCATCCCTGGAGGCATTCAAGGCCAGGCTGGATGTGGCTCTGGGCAGCCTGGTCTGGTGGTTGGTGACCCTGCACATAGCAGGGGGTTGAAACCAGATGATCGTTGTGGTCCTTTTCAACCCAGGACATTCTGTGATTCTGTGATTCATCCTGTTGGAATTAGAGTTGTGCTACAAAATTGGAGGTGCTCTTTCCTACTTTCTGGACTCCTTGGGCTCTGGATGGCATGCATCTTGGCCTTTTAAAGGTGCACGTGACTGAGATTTGAACCAGCAGCTCTGAAGTCTGAATTGTGTGTTATGTCT